ATTAACTAGAAATGACTTAAAAATGATTGATAAGGCCAAGTCATGACTCTTCTTACTTTGATATGAAAGATATAGGAGAAACATCTTATGTTTTATGTATAAAAATAATTAGAGATAGAAAATCTAAATTGTTATATTTTAACCAAGAGAGATATATTGACTATGATATTAAGAGATTTAAAGTGAAAAATTGGAAACCATTGTAAATTCCCCTTGAAAAGGGAGTAAAGTTATCTTAGAAGGATTGTCCACTAGAATGAGAAGAAAAACGTCATATTTCCTATGCATAAGCTATTGATAGCTTATATGCAACACGATATACAAGACCAGATTTGAGCTATGCTATAGGTCTTATAAGTAGATATCAAAGTAATTTAGGCCTAGTCTATGAATAGTAGTTAAAATAATTTTAAGGTATATTAAGGGAACAAAACATCTTAATTATGTTTTCAAGAAGATAAGTTTAAAGTTCTAGGATATTTAGATGCAGAGTTTGCTGAGAATAAAGACGATCGTAAGTCCACCTCAGAACATGTTTGTTTTTTGGAGGAGCACTAACTTCTTGGTCTAACAAGAAACAAGGGTGTGTGGCTAGATACATACAAGAAGCCAAGTACATTGCAAATAGCGTTGCTTGCACTTATGCCATCTGGATAAAATGCTTCATAGATGACTTGAAGCTGTAAATAATCGATGTGCCAATTCAAATATTTTATAATAATCAATCTGTAATTAAACTAATACAAAGTGAAGTAAATAGTTATAAAGAAAGACTCATAAAGGTACAATATCACTACATTTAGGACGTAGTTGAGAAAATTAAGATAATTGTTATTTACTTGCCCTCGTCTGATATGATTGCTGACCTATTAGCAAAGGGTCTAAGTGTGAAACTATTTCTAAGTGCATAAGTTTAATGGGACTTAAAAATGTATAAGTCGATTGGTTTCCATAAGTGAGAAATGCATATTTACGTGAAGAAAGCCCCTAGGCCTAGGGGGTCCGTCACTTACTACTCTAGTGTGAGCCCTACGCCTTCTTCTCGCCTGCTCAGATCCGCTCCTTATTTGTGAAAGTGTGAGAAAAAACTTATGATAAATATTGTCATAAAGGTCATGAAGTATTATTGTGCTTGACCGTCATTACTAAATAAGAAGATGTTGGCACGTGTATGTCCATGAGGCTTCACCTATATTCATGGGACGAATCCCATGGGTATTTGTTTTTTTTAATGATTATCCATTGTTAAAAGATTTTTCATAAATCTAATATATAAATAAATAATTATTTTCTCAAGGTTTTTTCTAACGTTCCTGTAAGGTGAGAATAAGCATCCTTGAAATCTGAGAAATTATTTCTCAGAGACCCATTGAGAAATGAAACATTGGGCATAAGAAGTTAGAGAGAGAAAAAACACATGGCGAATATTTACAGAGTTCTTGTGTTTACATAAAGCTTCTTTTTTCTATCTAGAAAAGGATTCTTGAAACAGAATTTGGGCTCTACGATCATTAGCCTCACGGCACAACCCCTTTTAGATATGAGCTTGGGGCTCATCCTCGCTCCAAAAATTTTGCTTTCAAAATGGTGCTTCCTATATAGGCCGAAATTTCCCTTTCAAATAGGAGGGTGATTATTATAATAGGTCATTTGAGTGATATTTTGTTCGAATGTGTGTCTCAAGAGAGCTTGGTAAGCCTCTAAGCTTTGTTGTGCTTGAAGGCATTTGACATAGCATATTTCAAGCTCTTCTAGACATATACTCCCGCATTCCTATTTGAACAACTCCTGATGAATGGTTATCCTTTGGGAAGGGAGGTGCAGAGCTAAAGGGAGCAACCTTTCAACCATGGGCAACAGAGTAGGGGTACAATCAGTTGAGTTCTTGGAATCCCAAGTTCTTCATTTTCATTCAATAGTTCATCAAAAGTAGGATCACTATCTAACATGCGATCGCCTAATTCTTTATTAAAAATAGGATCACTGTCAGAGACAGGAGTAGTATCAAAGATAGGACCATTTGTCGATTCGAAGAATATTGAATCAAGCTTGGATCCTTGTTTTTCTTTTTCAAAATTATATGGTGCCATTGTGCTTACCCATCTACATAACTTTACATGTGATCAGTCCGTTCCCACTCAGACTCTATTGCTGGTCTTGCTTGGACAACAACTATACTCTCTTGTGCCGCATCGATCAAACTGTTTATTTCCTTGTGCAATCGGATCAAACAGGGATCCCTGTAGCTAAGACCTCCAAGACCATCCATCGTAATTTCTGACCATCTTTGAACTAAGCTTTTATACCACTTGATGCTAGAAGAAAATGTGGGAAATTAAATCCACATTTTTCTCGAACGAACCTCAAACAAGTAAAAATCAACAATAATGGAGAAAAACATGATTGTTAATCAAGCGAAGAAAAATTTTTTTTTCTATAAAATAAAATTCATTCCAATAACATAAGCATCCGATAATGTGATGTTCCACTTTTTATAAGCCTATGAAACCCCAAAATTAACTTGAGATCCAGGTAAATAATTTAATACTTTAAAGTACCCTTAAATAATATTGAAATTCTAGAACTAACTAATGAATAGTAACATGTGACCAGTAACCGTAAGAAGTGACACATGAATAGTGAAATAAGTGATGCAAATTGCGTCCAAGACGTTTAAGAATTAAACTGGTTAACATATTATTTATTTATTTATTTTGAAAATTGGCTTTCTATGGATATGGTAGACTTTTTATTTTAATCTTTTGGGTTAGTTTTTAGAAATTGTTGCATGGGTTACATTGGAATTTTATATCTTAATGTGAGCATAGTGTTTAATTTTTATTTATTATAGTTAACTTGAATTTGTTTAGATTTTATCTTATTTTATGGGGGAGCATGTTTGGTGGAAGTATATCACCTATTAATAGTATATCACATATTAATAGTTATAAGAAAGGATGGGTTGGGTGTTGGGTCTTTTCTTTTCTTCATTTCTTCGTCTCCCAACTTAAATGAGTTGTGGGGATACGTGTGGGTGAGAGATTAAGAGGGAAATATTTTTGAGTTATAGGATGTACAAGAGAAATACTAGGTGTGATAATAATAGGGAGATGGGCAATGACGAGGAAGTTACAGGAGATACGGGTACAAGCTTTAAAGAGAGAAATAGTTAATTTTTTAGTTTTTTATTTTATTTTATTTTTATTTTTGGCTTATATTTATGGTGAAACTTTTCTCTTAGACAGTGATTGGATATTGTTTTTGTGTAAAATTACAAAAAAAAAAAAAAGAGTGCTTCTTTTTCTTTAGGCTTGATTATTAGCCATTTATTTCTTACATTATTGTTGAATTTTTACTTGTTTAAGATCGAAAGAAGGCTGCATATAATTTTATGAACTCCTTTAAAAAAAAAGATACATGTAAAAAAATAAAAACTAAATGTAAAAGATTAACTCTACATTATAATTCCTACAAAATAACCTTAACAAAAAATAAAATATGCAAAAAAATTCTTGAACTTATAAAAAATAAATAAAATTTTTGAATCACCGAATTCTTGATCTTTATCAATCAGGGATTATGCTAGGTCCATCAAACTTGGGTAATCGATGGTTGGACTATGCACCTTACTATGGATTTCGGGTACCTCTTTTAGGATGTCACCCAATTAAAGTCGACTATCATACCCATTGTGAGGGGAGTGACCTCATGTTCTCTTAATAGGGTGGCTTCCTATGTGCATCTATTGTTATAATTTGTGACCTTTATTTTTTATATCAATCAAATTATTATTTTTTAAACTCTTGTTTCATCCTCCAAGGACATGACCTTTCTTATCTTTCCTTCTCTCTAACAGGGGAATTATTTTTTTTTTGATGTTTCCTCTCTTACAAATCATTGTTATAATTTACCAATAAACGGCTATTTCTCTCCCTTGGGTCCCTTCTTTAAAAGAGTTTCACATGTCTGTCTCTTTCCTTCTAAAGAGACTCTCTACCATCTTGATTTCTCTGCTAGAAATGAGGCTCCTTGTTACCGTCACTGTGAGTGTCATTTAAATCGATAACATTTAAGTCACTAATGCCCATGATTTCTTCGAGCAGATCTTTTTTCCTTCATCAATTCGAGCACCGGTCCGGTTCTGACAACATTGCACAGAATCACAATAAATTAGTTGCCTTCAGAGGCCTCAACGAAAACTTAGGCAATCCCTAAATCTATTGATCATTCAGCTGTTCTTGAGGATTGATTCATTTTCTCTACGTTAATATTCAAGCTGAAGGAAAGAAAAATGATTAGCCCATACCCAAAGGATTATATTTTTCTTCCTTTTCTTTGGTTAGAACTCAATTTATATAACTTTTTTTTGGTTCTTTTAGATTCACATTTTCTGATTTTTGCGTGGTATTGTTTAGGGAGCCATTCGAAAACTTTATTGTACTTGTGAATGCATCACTCTGCTGGAAAATGCAGTTTGTAAGACTAATGTCCGTCGGTGCCTGACCATGAAGCACCCTCTACAGTTTGATTCAGCTATCAATGGCATCTTTAAGATGTATTATCTTCCTAAACAGTGCGGTATGACTGAGATGACAGACTTGATCTAGAATCCGATGGCAGTTGCATGTAATTTATAAAGACGAAAATAGATGGCAATTTCAATCTCCAGATTAGACGAGAGATGGATTGAATGACGTTGGGGTGCAAGAATTTGTTTGTTGAAGATAGTTAGCACAGTAAATTTTGTTTTATTTTCTTATTCCAAGAATTATGAAGTGTTCAGAATAAAAAATTGAAACTGTTGCATTAGAGATCTGTTTTCATTCAGATAGCCGAAGGAGAACATTAAAGATTCAATAATCTTGATGGGTCTTAGTACAAGTGAACCTATGAGAACATGGTGTCATAGAGAGGATTAGCCCATTTTGAGTCACATTTCACTGATGATAAAGAGGTTGCAGATTCCTTAGCATGGGAAGGGGATGTCCAAGCCACAATTGGAAAATATAACTATGATGGTTTTGAATATAAGATAAAAAAAAACTCATGCTACTAATTCCTTATGGTTTACATTTAAATTGGACTAAGCAGAAGCTACAAGTTGCGAAGACATGATAAAAATAAACTGAAAAACAAGTACAGAGAAATGGGCTTGGCATTGCATTGATCTAAAGTTCTAAATAGCCATTCGATCCAAAACTTCTTGGAGAAGAGCACTAGAGTCTTCAAAAGAGGCCTTCGCATGTGGAAGGCTCCGACTCTTCACTGCATCTTCCAGCTGCCAAAAGAAGTAGAAAATATTGAGGTCTTTTATCACATTATCAATGCTCATGAAAATAACACTCAGGCTTTTTTATCATATTATCAGTAATCATGAAAATCCCATAGTGTATACCCCCCTTGTTTTACACAAACAAATATTGAGGTCTGATAATGTCAACTCAGAGTCTCTCTTACAATTTCCAAAACTTGGTTCGCATTGTACCTTTTCGACGCTATCGAACAATTTATTGGCAAGGTTTGTGAGGGGCTCTTTTTGATCAACAGGAGCAGCAGTGATGACCTTGTCGAAATCATAATACATGAACGTCGACTTCAATCGCAAAAACTGCCTGACATAACTCCATGCATCCTGCTCTATGAGATCCCGCATACTTAAAAGATCAAATGCACTCTTACCCAATCGATACGCACTCCCCTTCGGCCCGATATTTGCCATGTAAATCCCCTGTTTCAGGAAAGACCTCGTCCCTGTCTCCTCGTTGGCTATCTCTGCAAATTATGGAAATTTATTAAGATGTTTCCCTTAAAGGACCCAGAAAAGATTAAAGAAGGCTTGAGGACCAGAGAGGAAAGCTACAATCAATCCGAGTCGTCAACAAACCGGAAAAATGTCGAGAAAATTGATGGCCTTTTGATTAATTTATAGAATCAGCTATTTTCTTAGACAATAAATGGCATTTCAGTCTATTTTCTTAAAATGGGGAGATATATTGAATTGAATTTTGATTGGTTAAACATGGGGGGTTTAATTATAGCAAACGACAGCAGGATTTGCAGCAAGGGAAACGTGAATTGCAAAGAAGAGTAAGAGTATCTTTTACATTTTTCTTTTTCTGTTTTGTGGGGTGTATGTGTGTGTGTGTGAGAGAGAGAGAGATTGATTTTTAACTGTTGGAGACAGGAGGCAAAGAGAAAGGCCCAGGTAGCCAGAGCTGGTTTCCTTCATCAGCTTGTGATTTTGCAGTGAGAAGTTGGCCAGAAAGGGTGAGAGTGGTGAAGCTTAACAGAGCTGCCCTTCTGCTTGTAATTGGAGGAAGAGAAGCCCCGGCCTTAACAAAAAATCCATTTTTCTCTCTCTCCGATTTATGGAGAGTAAACCTACTGGTTTGGGGTGGTTTATAGAGATTGCCATTTGAGGGACTGTTCATATTTGCAAGGCCTGCCATGCCTCTCAGCCAGAGCCGTGACATTCGTGGCCACCAGGAAGAAAAAGATTATCCTTCAATTTATATTTGCGGGTTAATAAGGGGCCAAAAGAAAAATAAAAGACTTAATGCGCAAAATAAAAAAATGCAGAGAAGAATTTATGGGACCTTTGTTGAGATAGACGGAAATAATACCAGTGGAATTGTATAGCAATTTTTAAATGTTAGTATTAGTTTGGTCAATAACTTGAATCGAGAGAAATCTACAACACACCAAGTTAGAATTATCTTCTGGTCCATATTTCAGATTTTTGAGGGCAACATCTTTTTCTTTTCTTTTATTTTATATTTTTTATGTTTTATTTTTTTAAAATTTTACCCTCAGTTGTAAACATCGAACTACTTTATTTATTTATTTTTGACATTTTTGAACAGTTTAAAGGATAAGATATCAAACCATGACATCGGGCTGCCCTACAATCTAATATATTCTTTTGTATGGGGTGGTTCTGGCAAAAATACTGGATCGTCAATCATCTTTTTCCAATGATTTAAAAGATGCCTAATATTTCAATCATCGAACTGGTGCACTTCATTAAAAAAAATTATGAGATGGTCCGATATATATAGATTATCGGACTACCCTATATACTAAATAAATACTAAATAGTAGAGTAGATTCATAAAATTACCAGTTGTGATTCTGATTATTATAATTTTTTTTTTTTTATATGACAACGAAATTTGTGAGGAGTTTTCTATATTAAAATTGGCTCCGTAATTTATCTCTATGAGAGCATGACCTGATTCATTATTGTTGTAATTATAGTTCATTTTGTGGGTTCTCCTTGTTTTTGCATTTTCAATTGAAATGTTGTATCCTTTTGTAGGGTCGGTTGTCATATTTTTGTAAGATCATTGCCAAATTTTTTGTTTTAAAAGTTTGGACTTTCAAATTTATGTTTGTTAAATAGAACATCGATTTTAAACTTACAATCAATCTTCTTGAATGTGTCATTTGGCTTATAATAATGCATCTTGGTAATTAGTTTTGCTGCTTGGTCTATTTTCCTATGTTCTAGTAACTATTATTGCAAATTCCTTGTCCTATTTCTCAAAACAAAAAAAATTGGACACCATTTACTGGTTGAACAGCATAAGTGCCCATCTGCAAAAAGATATGAGTATATTCCATAACGTTTACTAATTTTTATTTAGCTTTTGGGATAAAATGGTTACCAACATTCAAGCTTTTCAAAGTCATGGTATCATGCTTTGAACAAGATTTGTTTTTTAAAGAAAACAACATCTTTATTTGGTTTCTATAAAGAATTACTTCGATCAGTGCCTCATCATATAAAATAAAGTTTTGATATGTGTTTGTGAAAACTAGAAAGAAGCAAGCAACACAAACACATACTCTACCATGTAGTAATAATAACTTATAAGTGCTCTTTGATCCCTCCAATAGGATGTCAAACACAGGTATCTAGAACTTCCTTAACATTCTAGGAGGTTATCAAACACAGGTACCCTGAATTAAATTACACTAACTTCCCACTTCCCAGCAAAAAAGAATTTCCAATTTTTAGAGAACATTTACCTTCAGCAATCAAACACGCCCATATAGTTTAACACATAATATTTTCAATTTTTACTTTTGGTGTCATATTACACATTCCCTATTAAGAAATATAAGACTTATTTTACATTAAATAAACTTATGTAAAATTCTTAAGCTAACAACAAGAATTGCTAAAACTTTTCTCATTTAGTATAGTATCTATGAGTGGATTAAATACTTTTTTAAGCATGAGAAATATGCGTGTGCCTCACAAATACTTTTTGTCCACCATCTATTTTAACCTTTAAATGGTGGCACCTTCTTTTGTTGTTCACCTTTAATGAATGATTTGTTACAAAGACTTGATATACTATAGCTTGCATAATGATATGGACACTCACAAGTCCCTTAATTATCATATAAACTAGAAGCCTCATATGGCAGCAAGTCGCAATCTTCCAGGAGCAATGAGGCTTTAACCAAATTTTATTTGTCATCTTACTAATTGTATATATGTGACTATATTGATTTTCGTTCTTCTATAAAAAATAATAATTTCACCTCCTGAGACAGACCTGGAGAGAACCTACAGAGCAGGGATTTAGAGAGAGAATTGAGATGTACTTTATTTAGAAGAGAGATATAGAGAAAGATAAGGTCTAAGATAGACATATGTAGACATTTCCATCTAATTTTATTCTTATAGTTTCTTAGCATTATAATCTCCTTGACTCAAACACCATATAACCATATCCCATAGTAGTTTTATATGTATATATAAGTGGGAGAAGCAAGAAGTTATTGTTTTTTTCCGAACTCTTTGTGTCATATAAACTTGCGTGAACATATATGTTCAAGTCACCTTTTTTCAAAAATTTATATGGTCTCCACTCAATACTAGGTTATTATTTTTAGATGAATATATATAGAATGTTTGATTTTATCTTTTCTATAAACATGAAAATAAAAGTAAAGCTTAAAGTTTGCCTCTAGTACTCTCTCTCTCACACACACATACACATGCACACATGAAATTCTTTTTTAGTATATGATTCAAATATTTCTATCTTTTCATGCTTAAGAAATTATCTGATGCATTCATAGATATTGTAGTTGTTGAGAAAAGTTTTAGCAATTCTTATTATTAACTCAAGAACTTTACCTAAGTTTATTTGATATAAAATATGTCTTATAATTTTTAATAAGTATTGTATAATATGAGACAAAAATTTAAATAAAAAGTAATATGTTTTAAACCATATGATCATGATATGAAATGATCACAAATACCTAATATAGCTCATAGAAATGATAGGAATTCTCATAGGTCTCTTAATTATTATATGACTTTGAACCCTCATACGATGATAAGTCAATCTTCCACTAACAGTGAGGCTTTCATCAAATTTATTTGTTATATTACTAACTATATATATACCTATGCATAAAATTAATTCTAATTTAGTTTTATACGAAGTAATATTGCTATTAATTAAGCTCTAACTATATAGGTAGATGCGTGCTTATGCATGCACATGTGTGTGTATAGACTATATAGAGAGAGAGATTCAGTTCAGCAATAAATCCTCTTGAGAGTATACTAATTTTTGTGTATAATATCAACTTGCTTGTACTTTTATATAATATTTATTTAAATCATCTATTCTAAAAAAATTACATGGTCCCTATTCAATATTGTGTTTCTATTTTTTTACGCATATACATAATATGATTTTGTTTTTTCTGCACTTAAGAAAATGGAAAAACTTAAAATTTGCCTATCAGTACTCTCTCTCTCTCTATACACACACATGGAACTGCCTAATTTTATATTTCGAGAGAAAGTATCTCTAATATACATGTTTTGTGATTGTCTAATGGTAAGCAATATAATAAATATTAAAGCATTAATCTACTAATATAAGATTTTCATACATGTGATCAAAGTACATTTAGAGAGAAATAAGATGTTTTCTTATGAACTATTGGGACTATTTGGTACTTTGATTACATGATGATGAGATGCAATTCAACTCATTCTCTTTCTGGTTTAATGATAAGGATGACTCACAAGACCCAATCCCCAAGATATAGCATCAAGCGTTCAAAGGGTGACTTCCGAACTCAATCTCATTTATTAACATGCAATATTTGATCATTTTAATGAGTAAAATAAATTTTTTTTTATAAAAAAGTAAAGATAAATTAAATGTGTTAGAGAGAGTGTACATTGATTAGATACCGTTCAATGTTCTTTTGAAAATCAATTTTTTTAAATTTTTTTAAATCAAATTTTTTTGAAAATCATGATCCTGTTCAATCTTTGGGGTGGTCAAAACTCACTGTTAAAGAACACAAAATAATGTGCTTTTTTAAAAAGCATTTGTTGGTTCTTGTTTTCCTGCGATTTTAGATTAAAACAAGGGAAAAGTTTATATAGAGCCGAGGCTGTAAACAATCAAATTTGAACGTACCTAAAAAATTTCACTAGAAGAGGTTGTTTTGATGCCCAAATATCTTCAAATTGATCATCTCGACATCAAGATGCTTAGACATGAAAAAAAAATGTATTTTAAGTTTTGGAAATAGTATATTTTGTAACACATTTTTTAACCGTCAATTTTCAAGATTTTCAAGTTTTCATAGATCTATTGATCTATCCTATTTTTTAGGCTTTAAACTTTATAAATAACTATGAAAATATATTTTAAGGTTATCACAAAGATTTTCAGTATTGAAACCATAGTTCTCGATCAGTGTTCGAAAAATCGAACTGAAACGGTTAAGCAGACATGAGCCTGAAAGCAATTTAACCGGCCTAACAAGTAAACCGGCCGATTCAACCGCTCTAACCGGGCAAGTCTGGAACGATTAAAAGAATGTTAAAAAAATAAAAAAAGATACAAAAAAAATCTATTAAAATATAAAAAAACATATAAAGAATGTGATTAAAACAAAACACACTCAAATAAAGTTGAAAATTAATGAAAAAATAGATTTTAGCGAGTCAATTTGTGCTTAAGGTTATTTTTAAAATTTCTGAAAAGATAGGAAAATATAAAAGTGAGTATCAATGATCAAAATATTTTTTAATCTTTACCATAATGTAAAGAATATTAAAATAGTGTAAAAAAAATCGACTTGACCTACGCTTTTTCTTAAAGAAAATGATCTGTTTTTTAAGAAATGATCTTTTTTTCTTAAAAGAAAATGAAAAAAAATTATATTATATATAATATAAATCCTTATTTTAAACAACTAAGTAGTAAATGGTGATCAAGTAATAAATGGCATATGCTTTTTTAAAAGAAAAAATGCATATGGTTTTTGAACCAATTAATTGATGGGTTTTTTAAATGCTGGATGGAATTCGAACCCCAATTCATATAAAAATCATTTGCCAAAGCTAACCAATACGTCATTCTCATGTAGTTGATATGAGTTTGAAATAGTATTCTATTTAAAGTTTAAAATACTGGGTGACCACCAAAACCAACCAAAATCGGAACCGGTGGCTGGCC